GAGCTGCCAAAATAAAGCTTTCTGTTTCTTTTTTCAGTACTCCTGATCTTAACCAGTTCCAAGTTAGTTTCTGGTCAGCTTTGCCTTCAATACTTTTCAAGTATTGGCCATGCAGAGCTTTGCTTTTCCAATTTTCAGCTCGCTGCTCAATTACTTCTTTCTTATATTCTGCTTTTGTTTTACTTGTCTTTAAAAGGCCTCTTTTATTTACTTCTTAATATTATTATTATTATTATTATTATTATCATCATCATCATCATTATTAAACATGAAAGTCAGTCAACTGAACATTTAAAAATCTATCACAAATATTATTATTAATAATAATATTATATCATTATTGTCAAATGAATATGAGAGAAAACACCTACTTGATTATTCATCTAATGGGCAGCTTAGTAAGATTTTTAGACAACTATTGAGATTTTTGTGAACTATTTAAAATTTTGAGGTGCGGAAATATCTTTGAAATTCACCTATATTGAATATGTCAGATTAATACAGCATCTCTTTGGAATGCTTTTCATTATCACAGCAGTTGCTAAAATTCCACACATAGTTGACCATACACTTAAAACCAAAGAAAAATCCATACAAATTCATTATTCTGCAAAAGGTGGACTCATGTGCATGAACATTTCTTGCTGCTGAGAAGGAATCTAAGGCCACAGAAAATCTGGTGAGAGTTTATGTTGCAGACAACACTGAGAATGTAGGTGCTTCAAAACCATGGTGTTTGCAAAAGGAGGAGAACTGCCATCTGAATCTAGACATACAGTGTGTCTGTTTGAAAATGCAAACCTTGAACTTATTGCTCTGTTATTTGCATTTTATTTCTTGAGCCTGCAATCACATATGCATTATAGTGGTTTCATTGGCATGATTTCTAAAGTGTATCAGCATGTTCTTCCAAAGTTGTTTTGCTTCATATCTGTGATCTCTTTGGGCATTTTATTGGGAAAAAGTCTGCCACTTCAGTTAATCTCACAGTAGCAAGGAGCCATAAATATCATTTCTTCACAATGACTAAAAAAATTGCAGCTTTTCTATTATCACTATAATTCAACTAAACTATGCTTGAACCACAGTTTATTGTGCATACGGTTATGTAAATCGGTTAGGTTTTATCCAGTGGGAACATGGATTACCACTTCAATTAAATCAGAACCAATTAATTTCATATTTGTTCTTCAGATTTAAAAAAAAATATTTTATTCTGTATTGTATTTAAAAATAAATATTACTAGTATCAATGTGTAGAGCAACAAGGATTATGTTAAAAAGCAAGATTTTAAAAAGTTAGAGTATGATTAAAGTCTCCTAGAACAAAAGATGTGTCTAGTAAATAAAGAACTGAGTACTCTGTCTGTATAAGAATTAGCTTAGGAAAACTTCCAGCTATGAAACACATGCAGAAGGAATCTACACACCGTGCAAAAAGGGCCATTAAAATATGTAATGATGATTCGATATCCAGAATCAATGTGAGAAGCCAGTTTGCTACCTATTAATTCAGGAAGAAAGAGGGAGGGATGCTATGCAGGGGTGGGTTCTACTTACCTTTACTACCGTTCGCAATGGGGCCGTGCGTGCTTGCATCGCTCACACACGCGCTCTTCTGCACAGAAGCATTTTGATGATGTCGGGGTCAGTGGGCGGAGCCTCCCGCCAGTTTTACTACCAGTTCTATAGAACCGGCGCTAACTGGGAGCAACCCACCACTGATGCTATCACTGCCTGAACAGATTTGACAGGTTAGCATGGCGTAGGATTATGTGAATTCATTACAGAACAGCATGTCGTATTCCTGGAAAACTGACTTTGTGGTGAAGCATGCCTCCGCTTGCACCTACATGACCACAAATTAGGGCTTGCAGTATTCCTTTGCTTGGTGTAGACATGACATGGTAATACTGACTCAATGAATAATGATTCACACTTGAGAAATTATCAAGTGGACAGCCACTTCACAAATTCTGTGATAAGTATAGGAACCTCAAATACATTGTGTAATATGCCTCCCAAAAAAATCCTTTTTGATAACTGGAATCACACATTTTAATATCCAGGGAGTAAGCTTTGCCACACTAAAACACACACAATTATAGCAGCTGTGGAAATAATTAAGTCCAATGCTTGCTTTGGTAAATGTATCTTTGATTCACCTTCAGTCATTTTATATAAAGTCAAGAGAGAACATGGATGGCTATATTTTTTATTAACAGAATATTATCTGGCTGTGTATGGGTGCTTATGAAATTTGAGAGGAAGAACCTTCTAATGATCACCAAATATGATAAAGCAATGGAAAGTTCTCACATTAAAAAATTAAGAGGAACATAAATTATTAACTTTGCAAATAGCAGGTTTAAGATTGAGAAATGTAGACAATGACAAGACCCTGGCTAAAGACTTCTTTGCGTTTTACATGTCTATGGGGATTCTCAATCTTCCATGTCATGGTTGTCCCAAAGGTGCTTTTTCCAAAAGGCAATAGGACTTTTTTTGGGGGGGGGTTCCTTTCAGAAATGTTTCATTTCTCATCCAAAAAGCTTCTTTGGTTCTTTGTGTGTTAAGATTAAATTCACTTCTGACAGAAAAATTAAGCATATATCTCCTCAGAAGCGTGCCTCACTGAGGTTATAGGACTTAATTCCCATTTCCTCAAGTAAAAAAAGCAGTCTTCAGGTGAGCTTGACTCCTGGTGATTTCTTGGAAAGATCATTCCTGAATCTGAATCTGTAATTGTCTGGTTTTAATTCCCTTTGTAATGTGTCATGTGTGAACATTTTTGAGAAGAAAACAGGAAACAGAAAGAAGAAATGCTGAAAAAAGTTGCTTTTACCTTGACATACTCCATCAAGTCAAGGATCACTTCAGAAAATGCTTACACGTTCAAATCCAATACTTCCTAACCTCTATCATATTATAGTTACAATCATAGAATCAGGAAATGCAAGCTTTAGAAGGGACTTTGGATAGCATCTAGCCCAATCCCCTAACAAGTGCAAGAATCCAGTACTACAGTATCTATAACATATAACTACTCAGTTTCTGTTTAAACCTTCCAGCAAAGGAAAATCCACCATCTCCAAAGGAGGTCTGTTCCATTGTTGTACAATTTGTATGCTTAGGAAATTCTTCTTGGTGTTCAGCTGAAATCTACTTGTTGGAATTTAAACCCATTGTTTTTTCTGAACACTGAAGAATTGTGTTCCATGTTCTAAATGACAGTCCTTTAAGTACCTTAAGTCTGTTCAGAATGCCATTGTTAAGTTCAAGAGTATTACTTGTCCACCTGAATAGCTCAAACCACTCCATAAATTGTTGCATGGATCTGATTTGGATTCAGAAGCCTTGTTTTCTAGGAGGTTCTTGTAAGACAGCAGCTACAGACTTTTGCACAAATCTATCAGACACATAATGTCTGAAAAGATATAATTCAGGAAATGGGCTATATCTACTTAGTTTATGGGACAATTAGTGCAAGAAAGATGATTGAAAGCTTAAGACTTGCCACACTGTTGCTTTCAGACATTTAAAATTATGAATAGTGCTACTTACCCTCATAAAGCATAATCAATAGAACTTGCACAATAATAATTAACTTGTATCCAGAAATCCCTAGGAGGGAGCATATGAGCTGAAAACTTGATCTTAACACAGGATGACAAGGTGTTTCCTTTCGTGAACTTTCAATATTCACAAGGGGTTTAGGCTGGTAGAACAGTTTTGGCCTAAGTTTCACAGCTAAACTCTGAATAAAAAGCCAGAGATCCGGATAGAGAAAAGTTGACAGATTCATTTTGTGACCTAAGTCTGCTGTGTGATTAAAAAGAGAATATCAAAGAATCTGAAATTTCAAGAATAAAAAAACTTTCTGCATATAGACTTTGACAGCAGCTATTTGTAATATATAATATTGAAAAAGACTGTCTGCTGTCAATAGTCCCAAATGCCTGATCAAAGTTACTAATAAAATATTTCCTGTATATTTTAATATGTGTTTGTGGAATATTTAATTTTTCCAATATTATTCCAATATATTATTTCAATTTTGTTTTCAATTATTTATTTCAATATTGTTTTCTAATAACTATTACTTTGGAGCACTTCATACTGAAAAGAAACAAGAAGAAACAAGGCTTAGAATTGCACAAAGCTTGTTCAGTGTTTGAGGTCAAAATTTACCTTTAAAAAAATCAAGATTATAATGAAAATTTTAAACTTGGAATTCCAAAATTGAAATAGTGTGTACATGGTAGCATTGTGTTTTTAAATATCTGTATGAAGGAATCTATATCTCTGCATCAAGCAGTATATGCCTTCCTTAATTTAAAAGAAATAGTAAGAAGAAAGGAATAGGAATAATATTTTTAAGGACATGGTAGGTATTTTTCCTCTGATCCAAGGGGACAATGCCTTAAAAAAAAATAGGAAGCCATACTACATCTTCTTCAACCATGTTTTTCAGAGGAAGAGTTATAACTATTTGCCCCTTGTGATGAATCTTTGTGACAAATGTCACCTCAGCTGTGATAAAATGTTCACTGAAATCCATTTTCTGTATGTGTTATTTCAGTGAGGATATTTTTTCAAAGCACAATGGCTGTTGAGGAGGCATTTCTACTGAATGCAGTGCAGGCTCCATTGTGTTTAATGTGTGACTTTAAGCACTTGCCAATTTCTAGCAATGCAAGTACATAAAATATGAGATTTGTGTTCTGTCAATGAAGAACCCTGCAAAGGGTTCTGCCAGGTTTGTTTCAACCTATTTGTGAACAGAAAAGTCTATACAAAAACTATGTTTAACAATTTTTTTTAAAATGGCTGCTATGCACAGAGTCAGATTTCATTTCTGTACTTGTGAAGTACTGTAGCTTTAAAAAAAATAGTCATTTCCTGCCCATTTGTTTTTTCTCCCCCAAATAACTGAGACCATGGTGTACAGTTTCATATCAAACTAAACTTTTCAAGTCATGATACATCAGGTAAAAGGATTGCTTTAGTGTCTCTTTTTATTTTTTTTTTCATTATCAGCACCATACTCCTTACAATGTTCCAATAAGGTATAACTTTCCCAGCTTCATTCCTAGATACACAAGCCAGGTAGTTTTGCTTCTCTACCGATTCCATGCAATTGGACCTTAAAACTACTCTTTGTAGGATGAATCATAAAATATTTTACTTAGTAGTGTTTAGAAATTGTGATTATCCCAAACAACTGCTATAAACACAGGCAAAAAAAAAACAAAACAATCCAAACTCAGAATATTGACAGGAAAATAGACAATTGGGGAAGTGCATCATGTGTCTTGTGAATGAGCTAAGTGCCAGGATAAATGCTCAACACAAAAATATAAATTCATTGTAAAACTGCATTCTAGGAGGAGAAAGAAAGAAAGAGAAGCAATAGAGTTTGAGAGAGGGAGGATAGAACAATTTATCTGTCTGAAACATATGCTAAAACACATCTGCTAATATTAACAGACTTAGTCCACAGAAAATAAAAGAACATAGATAATGAGCAGCTATTTGTTCCATGAAGAAGAAGAAAATACACAAAAATTTGAAATGTCCTGGTGGATAGAAAATACTTTTTTCCAGTAGATCTGCCCTGTGTAAAGTTGAGAAGGGGAATGCTGTCAGACTCAAGTTGAATCCAGCAATATTATTTCACAACATGCTCTAAAAATAATAAGAGAAGACAGAAAGAATGTTACAGTACAGAAATAGTCAACTTTCTGTTGTCTTATTCTTATATTTGTTACAATGTTGTCCTTCTCACTAGCCACTCTTGAGAAACAGTTGAGTGCAAGAGGTACTGTAGGACCTTGCCAAGGATAAGTTCAACTACTGTTTTGAGATGGGGCTTCTTAAATGGTCTTCCTCTTATGTGAATGAGCCTTTGCAATAGCACTTCTGACAGAAAGCACTAGGAGGAATTGACTTGTTCAACAAAGCATGTTCTAAAATATCTTGGTTTGGTATCATGCGAAAAGACGGTGCTGGGTGACTAAAATCCAACATTTTGATATTCCACAGTGTGCCCAATACACATTGCTTTGGACATCATAATTTAAATGAGGGCTATCAGACCCCCTCCTCCAAAGCTAGAAAAAAGAAATCTACAATTTAAAAGTAAATATATAGTTTCCTTCCATTAGTTACTGGTCATTTACCTAAGATTTCCATAATTTTCTCCAAATTAGTGTCATATACTGGTCTACAGTTCCAGCAACTGACCATCGTGGCTGGGAATTTTAAAAACTACAGACCCAAATCTAGAGAGAATACTAGTCTGGAAAAGATTAGCTTGTCTCGCAATCAAACTATTATACTTTAAGGATATGCAGAATCTATTTTTCTGACAACTATACAAAATGTTGTTTGCTATCCTGCCACCTGAATGGCACAAGCAAAGAATGCCTCATGAACAGGCCTCATTGCTTTCATTGGCTCTAGCTAACTGCCGGCAGCCATTGCATTTTGAAAGATTTCAGAAGGCAGCTGCCTTTTATGATGATCAAGAAATAGTTTGTTTCCAATCTGGATAATGTTTGTTTGTTTTTTTGTTTAAATTTATCCTCCTCCACAACTCCAATGGACTCCAAAGGTAGCAAATGAAAGAATTCAATGAGATGGCAATAATTATGCTCTTTCTTCCAGCCCTTCTAATCCTTTAATTTCAGACAAAAAACTCATAAAGCTTCATGGTTAGATTGTTCTTGAGCAGAACATAAAATGCATCACCATTCTTGAACAATTATACTTCAAAAAGAGAAAAACAGAAAATGAGATAAAATAAAGTAAAAAAGAAAAGGAATAACAACAAGGATGTGTTTTTGTAGGGCAGTAAATTATAAATACATACACATGCTGAGTAGCAGGCACTATTGTATGCTATTACATTCCAAACATTTTTTTGTGCATATGGAAGAGGCAGTTGCTGTCTTTGTGTTTTCTGCCACCCTTTGTTCACTGCAGATATTTGGAATTTTTGCTTAGTTGAAGCCAGATGACAGTCTGGTACTCTCAAGAAACACTGGAGAGTTGATTAGGAACTTAACAGTCATATATTGCATAAATAATGTTCCAAAAGACATAATCTCATTCTGAGCTCATCAGATACAAAGGTGAAAAAAAATCATATTGCAACCAAGATATGGAGTCTGGATTGGAAATAAAGTTGTCTTCTCACATGACACCAAGTCAGGATATTTTAAAGCATGCTTTTGTTGACCAAGTCAATGGATTTCTCTCTGCATTATGCTAAACCACAGTGGATTATTTTTTTTGTATTGTGCTAAACTTAACATGGCTAGTTTGTTTTTGGCTCAGCATGATGTAGTGCTAAGCATGAGGGCTAATGTCTCCAAAGGTGGATTTTCATTAAGATGAAATGTCTATTCTGTTTTCTCATCAGCAGTTTCAAATGATAGTTCAAAATATAGGGGAAAGAGGAAGGAAATTCAGTTAGAGAATGCCACACAATTCTAATTTTAGAATTGCTGAATCAGTATGTGTCTGCAACTCAGACATATGATGTGTTTCTACTTAAATTAGTTTTCCAACATCTCACATTAGGCAGGATGTTGTGTGCAACCGATGAGGTCTTGACAGTTACTATATCTTGATTCCAAAGCTCAAATGTTCTCTGAAGAAAAGATGGCCACAGCAATGTATGGAATATTGCAGCTATAAGTTTCCCAAACAAAAATCTACAGTACTTCAGGGGTGGGTTCTAAATATTTTTACTACCGGTTCTGTGGGCGTGGCTTATTTTGTGGGCATGGCTTGATGGTCATGTGACAATTATTTAGGATTTAGCAGAGGTACTGGTCTACCAGGCTTTTAACTGCTTGCAGAACTGTACCGATCTACCCATTTATTTTTTGCAGGCACTGGTCTACCCATTTATTTTTGCAGGCACTGATCTACTCATGTATTTTTGCAGGCACTGATCTACTCGTGTATTTTTGCAGGCACTGGTCTACCCATTTATTTTTGCAGGCACTGATCTACTCATGTATTTTTGCAGGTACCGCTCTACTCATTTGTTTTCTTTTAACACTGATCAGCTGTAGGGTGGCCCTTTGAAGCCCCACAGCAAGAGTTTAAACAGTTTTTTTCCCTCTAGTCATCAGCTGGGACTCAGGAGGCAGCAATAGATTGGGGGTGGAGCCAAATAAAAGGTAAGAATAATGTGGGGGGCGGGGGGCAGGGGGGCAGAACCGGTCCGCTGATGTTATATTGTCACTACTACCGGCTCGGGAGAACCGGGCCGAACCGGGAGGAACCCACCACTGCAGTACTTGAGTATACACTGTACCTGAAAATGCTTCGGACTACCATTTGATCCTGTATCTTGACATGCTATTTCATGGTCATCAGCCATTTCCCTAATTTCATTTTCAGGCAGTCTTGATTGGAAATGAAGCATGGGAAGACAAAAAGAAGCAACATTACACATATTAGAAACAAATTTAGAATTGCCATAACTTAGCAAATTCTTGCTTTTTTTAAATTGGAAATAGAAGGGTCTTTCTTGGGATTACTATGAGTTCAACAGTACTTTCATTCCATTTTCAATCTTGCCTCTAAATCTAAATGCTGCAAACAGCTTCTACAAAATAATAATAATAATAATAATAATAATAATAATAATAATAATAATAAGTAGTAGTAGTAGTAGTAGTAGTAGTAGTAGTAGTAGTCGTCACCCATCTCACCACAAGGCAACTCTGTTCAACTCTGTTTTGAAAAAATGTCATTTTCTGCTGTCAAGACTTCTGTCCTATAGGCTTAACATAAAAGTATGCAATTTTAAACCAGCTGAAAAAACATCACAAAACTTTTGGAAGAATCTATTGAACTGCTTCCTAAAGGTCAATGATCAGAGTTCTACACAGATTTCCCCATATTGTATCTTATTAGCAGGTCCTCAATGCTGAAACAGAAGAATAATGAGAGCTTAAGATAGCTCATCACATCTCACATTATTTGTTTCCGTGTTTCTGTGGCTGTATTTCTAATCTATCACACTAAGAAGAAACTATGCAGCTGCAGGTGGAATATAAACAAATAGGGAAAAAGGGGATGCATGCACGCTAGGTTTGGCCAATTAACCAACTGAGGGTCAATTTAAACTCTATGAAGGAAGTTTCCTGTAATCTTAACATTAGGATAATGCAACACAGATTTTGTACCACAGTGCAGAGAATGCTGAATAAAGGTTGCTCATGATCCCCTTATTTCTGAAAAGGAGACTCAGGAGTTAGAATATTAACTCATATGGTTTGGCTTTCTATTATTATCACATTTGCAGTGGCATGTTATCAGTATTCTATAAATATATATGTGAATATAAAACAATAAAAAGATACCATTGTGAACATAACATTGGATCAATCCCCCTATTATTTGTTGTTCAGTCACTAAGACGTGTACAAGTCTATGCACCCCCATGGACCATGGCATGCCAGGATCCCCTGTCTCAAAAAGTTTGTCCAAACTCAAGCCCCCTGCGTCATTGACACTATCTAATCATTTCATCCTCTGCCTTCTCCTTTTGCCTTCAACTTTTCCCAACATCAGAGACTTTTCCAATGACTCCTCTCTTTTCATTAGATGGCTAAAGTATTTGAGCTTCAATTTCAATATCTGTCCTTCCAAAGAACAGTCAGGATTGATTTCCTTTAGGAAATTCCGCATATTAAAGATAAATATGTTCTTGATATATCCATTGTATTGGCTAAATAAATTATCATATAACATAGAGAAGGTGCCTCCATACTTAATTCGCAGGAATACATTTTTTATATGTGTTGTTTGTCGATATTTCAATTCTGGGACATCGATATTTCAATTTCCAACATAAGGATGAAGAAAATTTTCAAGCAAAGATTTTCAAAGTTGTTTGTTTGAAACATAACATTCCAGAACATTTGTTTCACGCCTCAAACTTTTTAAAAAACTATTGTCTTTCCATCTTTCTCCTGCCCTTTAAAAATTATTACAGTGTGTTATGATTATTTTGCTCCATTTACTAAAATTTGTGATTGGTATCATTGAAAATAAGCTTCAGTAAAATTATTTTAAATTGGACAGTGACACCAAGTGGTCATACCTAGTATTATCCCCAGATGCTACCTGTGCTCCAAATTCAAATATGCTTTTTATCTTCAATCCATTTAGTGAAAATTTTAAAAGCTGTCTTTGGAGAATAAGTTTATCAGGTTGTCACTGTTTTACTCTCTCTTTCCCTCTTTCCCTCTTTCGTTCTTCTCTCTCTCTCTCTCTCTCTCTCTCTCTCTCTCTTTCTCTCTGACTCTCTCTCTCTCTCTCAAACACACATACACAAACATTGTGAATTTGTAGAACATTTTCTTAGAAATACAAGCATGGCTTCTGACAGGATATACTTATCAGAAACATGGCAAGCTGAAAAACAAAATTGCCTCTTCCAATTTCTATTGCACCTAATATTTCTGTAATTAAAATGCAGATTATTCATAGAATTAACATTGGTTTTGCTTTTGCCTTACAGATGGTATTGACTTTATTCAATGACTTTTATCCAACAGATACTGAAGTAGCTGCTCTGAATTTGTTTAGAAACATCCACTCTGTCCTCAGCTCCTTTCTTATTAAACTAGCAGTAAACTGAGATACCACTTCCTTTGGAATGAGCATACATTTTGAAATATATTACTCTGTGAATTAAAAAAATAAATAAATTGCTAAGCTAAATCAGTGGCCTCCAAGATGTTGGGTGCCCAGTGAAGGAGACAGAGAAATGATAGCAATAGCAATAGCAATAGCACTTAGACTTATATACTGCTCCATAGTCCTTTACAGCACTCTTTGGATGGGATGCAATGTCAGCATATCATCCCCAACAATCTGAGTCTTCATTTTACTGTCCTCAGAAGAATGTAAGGCTGAGTCAACTTTGAGCCAGTCAGGATCAAACTCCTGGCAGTCGGCAGAGTTAGCCTGCAATACTGCATTCTAACCACTATGCACCACAGATGATAAAAGGGAATTGTGTTTTTTGACCCCGAACAATTATAATAGAGGTAAAGGATTAAGAGTGGCGAAAAGGACATGGATTCATGGCGTTAAAGATCTCTTTTCTCTGCACAATATAGTAATTAAAAACAAAGATTTGTATCTGTTAGTTCTTAGTCTAAACTCTTTATATACTGCATATAGTACAACAGGAAAACAGTGAGAAAGAAAAGGCTACCTTCTTTTTCCTAAATCTACCCCCACAGATCTGTCAGATTTTTATACCACGCTAACTGAAATCTCTAAATTGTTTGCTAGGGTCAAGTTTCTTAACATAGTTCTTTTCAGAATCATTAGACTCCCATTATCTATAATGAGCATGAGCCGTAACTTTTGTTTACACATCCCTATTATTACATTAGGTTATGGGTGTAACACTGCAGATGGTTTGACTTTCAGGGCTGTCCCCCTCAAGTCTCCAAAGAATGAGAGGTACCCTTCAAAATATACTTACTCTAAGATGCAAAAAGCCTTAGGGGAACTTGATGTTGTAGCACTGGGGTTTGCAATTCCATATATCATAAGATCCAGTGTGGCTTCATCTTCAGTTACTGGTTGCGTTGGAATAATCTGAACATTGGACTACAAAACAGTACAGGCAGAACACAGATAAGGAATTATTTGAAATTGCCCACTGTGTTAACTGAATCAGTAAAGTAATGTTTTTGACTTTACATGGTGCAAGTTATTTTCTACTTTTCTATTAATAAAAAAATGTTTAATTATAGTCAATTAATATTCATAGACACTCAAGAATCTACTTGTCATTTCAAATAATTTTCAATGATTTATTTTATATAGGATCATATGACTGCATTACATTTTTATTATTTGATGTTACCAGAAATGATGTTACCAAAAAGACCTAAGATTACATTGGGGAGCATACATATTGAAAGTATATGCATAACATGTGAAAATCATGTCCCTTACAGCCCCTTGAAGACTTACCTGGATGGGTAGCCACAGTGGAATCTGCAAATAAGAGTTATTTGCCTGGTGGGTGATCATATAAATTGAAGAAATAAAGCCAATAAATAGTTAAACAAATAAAACTGAAAATGCTTAACATCACACTGATGTGATAATTTGCCATAATTGTTCTCAATGAAACAAGGCATTTTAAATTCCTTTTCTTCCTACTGAAGGCATACTGAAGGATATCTTTGTGCCAGGTCCAAGCTGGTACAGGTAGTTCTCAACTTACAACCATTCGCTTAGTGGCCATTCAAAGTTACGATGACGCTGAAAAGAGTGTTTTTCATACTTATGACCATTGCAGCATCCCCGTAGTCATGTGATCAAAATTCATATGCTTGACAACTGGTTCATATTTATGACAGTTGCAGTGTCCGGGGTCATGTGTTCACCTTTTGCGACCTTCTGACAAGCAAAATCAATGCAGAAGCCAGATTCACTTAACAACAGTGTTACTAACTTAACAACTGTAGCAAGAAAGGTCATAAAATGAAGCAAAACTCACTTAACCATCTTGCTAATAACAGAAATTTTGGGCTCAATTGTGGTCATAAGTCGAGGACTATCTGGACCAAGTTCCACTGTTAATGAAGATATGAAGTATATAACCACTATAAGATGCAGGGAAGAGCAGTATAAAATATGTAATAAGTACAATCTTGGCAATTTTGACAATGTCTACTAATTTACCAACAAAATAGTTCTGCTAGAACTATTTGATGGTACAAGTGTTGCAGTGGGGTCCTTGTCAAGTAACTTACAATGTTTTAGGCCTTCTTCAACAACCCACATTTACTGCTTTTCTCTCACAAAGCAAAAATAGAGCTTTCAGGTGTATTTTATGTAAATTTATATCAAATATCAACAACAGAGGCTATAAATCCAGCAGAACATTCATATCTACAGCAAAATTATTATACCTCAGAAGACAAAAGGATAGATCTACCTAGAAAGATAAAGAGACTTCCGTCATTCATAATACAACAATACTTTCATTAGAAAAAAGCAGAAGTAGGATAAGCCAAATATTTAGTCAAAATAATAACTACTATTAATACTCTTACAAAGTAAATTTGAAAGTGTGCTTTTACACAAAAGGCCCACAATGGAAGATTATTGTCATGTTCTTAAAAGTCCCTTCCATTTGCAGCTTTGCAATTCCACACTTTAAACACAGAGCCTCACAGAGAGGGACTCCTCAGGGTGCCGTCGGCCAGACAATGTCGGCTGGCGACCCCCAGGGGGAGGGCCTTCTCTGTGGCAGCACCGGTCCTTTAGAACGACCTGCCCCCGGAGATCCCAGATCTCCGTGCTTTTCGCCGTGCCCTTAAAACTTTTTTATTTCATCAAGCTGGGCTGGCTTGACCCCCCCCTTAGATATTTTTAATTGCTAAATTGGTTTGAGTTGGGATATTTTAAATTTTGTTGGGCCAATACTAGTTTAATTCTTTTAAAATTTTAAATTTTGTATGCGCTGTTTTTATCTTTGGCTGTGCACCGCCCTGAGTCCAGCAGGAGAAGGGCTGTATAAAAAATTGAATTAAATAAATAAATAAATAAATAAATAAATAAATAAATAAACAAACAAACAAACAAACAAACAAACAATATCAGCTCTACATATAAAAGGAGGTACTGTACAACCAGAGGTAGCTACAGTATAGAGCTCTGGGAGCTTCAAAGGATACATCAGTTCTTTCTCTGAAAAGACCTGATGTCTGCCAGGTTTCTGGCGTGCATGCGTGCATGACGATCAGCTGGCTGGCGCACATGCTCATGCAGGAAAACGGAAGACTAGCTCTTCCAGTTTCTAGCACTGCTGCACGCACAAAGGCCAGCTGATCCTCACGTGCGCCAGAAACCCGGAACATAAATGGGTGATGCTGCGCATGCCAGGTGACATGGCTCCGCGTGCCCGAAGTGGCACCGGTGCCATAGGTTCGCCATCACACTATAGCGTGTCCAAGATACTTTGTTGGTTAAAACAAATAACTCCTCCCCACCTACATTCTACATACAGAAATTAACTGGAGCTGGTAGATATCTTTAATAAAACTATGGGCAGTAGGTCAAGTGGTGGCACCTAAGTGACTTTGTATAAAGTGCCAAAGCTCAGATTTTATATTTAGTTGGAAGACTCTCAAGAAACCCCAGAGATGCATCTTGGACTAGGAAAGTTAAAAATGCACCCCAGAAGAAGACAATGGCAAACTGCTTTTGCATCATAGTAAGAAAATACCACAGATATGCCCTTATTGTTATCAGAGATTTAATCTGGCTGGGGTAACACACAGCCCCACAGAGGGAAATGGCCAAGGAATTCAGAAGAAAGACAGGGGAGAAAGTATTTCCCATTGCCTCTTTTGTATCAGACCATTCCAGCTTCCTGAATGACCATCACTATAGAGAAGGCTTTGTTCCATGTCTCAGCCAATTGCACCTCAGTAGTAAAGCAAAGCAGTGCAAAAGCTGTGAGAAAAATAGCATGGGCAGCCTCTTAATGCCTAGCATTCTGTTTTTCTCATTGTGTTCCAAAATTGTACCAGCCCAAAACATTATAAAATGGTTACACTACAAAACATGGCAGCCATTATGTTTTTTCATTGTGGCCATTTTGTTTTCCCCACTCCGTTGCACACTGATAGTGTCCAGGACAACATGGGAAAAATAAGAACGCGTATGACAGCCAAACTATAATGATTCTCCCAAGTCACTGCTTTTTTATTCAATTTTTACAATTGTTTTTTATTGTAATCAAGTAAGTAAATGTGTCTGTCAGTTAAGAACATTCCTTACATCTAATGTAGTAGATTGCTATAATAAGGTGAAACCTGATGTCAGTTTATTTTTCCAAAGTGAAGCCCCAAAGGCAAAGCTGTTAAGCTTTTATGGAAGAGACAATTGTGCTTTTCTGATATCAGAAGCAGACACATAGCAGGCTTGTAAATCAGGTTATATCTAATCAGCCACACAAAGACTTAATGGGAAACTTCTAAAAAGTAAAGAAAGTGAAGAATCGATGAAACAACAACAGCAACCCTGAAGACTAAACTAAAACTTAAACAATGACTTTAACAGCAGCATTTATTTAGAAATAGCTGTTTAGGAGAATACTTTTGCCACCTTGGCTTGGATGTACCATGCAGCTTGACAAGACTTTTACACAACAGTAAGTCTGCCTTTCTAATGCAGATCTATAATTTTTGCTGACAGAAACAGACACTCCTAACTATGGCAGAGGCCATTTCATCTCATACAGCTTTGTAGGACAATTAGGGCAATGTTTGAAGGCATGATTCAGCTGTGAATATATTGCAAAAGCATGTTAAAAGAAGATTTGCTCTCTCCAAAGTATTGAGTTGTCAAAAATCACAACTACAAAGGTTTCCATCAGAAAAGAAATCCCTGAAGATTAGATTTCAGGCCGATTTCATTATGTCATTTGTTTCCTTAAAAATGTCTCGTACACTTCAAAGGTAATCTTTTTTTTCTTTGAGCAATTTGTAGAATGAATGAAAGCTGAAGCATGGCCGTAACTATGGAGCTGGGAATACAGAGTGCAAATCCTGTCATCATTTACTTAGCCTTTCTATATTTTAAGAATCTAAATACCTCAAAGAATTCTGCTTTACTGTGTACTAAGTACAAAAGTATTACAACTCATATATAACTACTACTTCTTTGGGTTGGATTTTTATATAATCTCAGATCACCCTAAATGGACCTTCTTAAACAAAAGACATTCTGGGAAAGACTAATGTACCCCTTCCAAAATGTTTAGATTATTTCTGCATTTATATCCTACCTTTTCTCTTAGAGCTCAAAGCAGCAGGGAGGGGGTGCTCCCTCATTTCCCACCACCACCACATATAATGTTGAGAGAGAGAGGGAGGGAGGGAGGGAGGGAGAGAGAGAGAGAGAGAGAGAGAGAGAGAGCACTTGAGTTCAAATCATGCTGTGAGCTCTCTGGTTGACTGGGGACTTGAACCTGGATTTTCACTGTCAAATTCCAGCATATTTATATACATATGCCAAAATATATGCATACATTTGTACACTCAAGAGCACAGACACACAGACTCATACTTCTGACTGTGCTCTTTCTGAAAATCTTTCCTTTTACTGCACATCAGAGTAGAAATAGTAGAGCTACTAATATTAGGAGTACTAGTGGAAGTAGTAGAATTGCTACTATTACCCGTAGTAATAATAACACAACAACATACTGTTTCTGATTCCAGGAAAATATTTTGAGCAAAGGAGGTGGTGACAGGGTAAGATGACCTATCAGCATCTCCTTAAACCTGTATATTTCTTGGAGAACCTAAGGAAACACGTGGTTTCTTTAAGCAGGTCTTCAAACAGAGGCTGGTTGTCAAGTTTCATGTTTCAGCCAATAGAAGACCCGGCACTGCAGCAGCCAAACCAGATGATCTCTAAGGTACTTTCCATATCTAAAATTCTACCTCTTTGATCTAATGGAATACATCTTTTATGTTCTCAAACAATTTTCTTGGAATCGTGGAATGTGTGCGAGCCTCCAGGATCTTGCTTTTCGCTTATGGCTTTCTTACCTTCCTCAATGGAATTATATTGCTAATATAAAAAAAAAAAGTTCTTTGCAGCAGCAGCAGCAAGACAAGCGAAGAAAGAAAAAGAAGAGAAAGAAAAGGCTTTTCTAAAAGCTTCCTATCTCATAATTACCACTTTAGAAGCAGGAAGCCTCCGGCGCTGCTTGTACATATTGATGAGTCTGTTCCAGGGAGAGAGCTCCGATTTTGGAGATTCTTTTTGTACATCTTCTACAGGAAAGAAAAGCCACATCACAACAGCTTTCAACAGCCAGTGTTTTCCCAGGTTCTGCCTCTTCACTTAACCCAGACAATAAAAGTATCATGTATTTGACTCTATTTACTCTACTTTACTTTGTGTGGTGCAAAGAAAACAGGCAAAAATCAGAAGCAATTTAAAGGAACAAACTGCACACTTGCCCAGAGCAGCAGGACATTTGCACATGAAATGGGAGTGTCTTTGTATTTTCCAACAATTGACCAAACCTACCTGCAGCTCCCTCAGCCTTTCCTTTTGCTCCAGCTCTGTTCAATTAAGAAGTGGAAAGAAAGGGCCCTGACTGGCTGTATTAGCTAGGAAGTAAAATAGATATTGTAGAACAGCCATCCACAATAGCCAAAAATCACAAGTTGGTAGCACCTTTTCTGACTAACACATTTTATTAAAAGGCATAAACTTTTGTGAGCATCTAAAAGCACACAGTATGCTTTTTAATTAAATGTGTTGATGGGAAAGAGTGCTACAAGATTCCTTCTAATTCTAGGAAAGTAGAGTGTATCCTGCTTCAAATTATATAAGAATAGGATTATCTTCTTCCTAAGAGAACCAGCCAATATAGTCAGATGGAATGTAGTGCTCCCGATCATTCATTTTAATGGCCCTTCTAGCACAATATAGTGTAACATGTCTCCTGGTTTCTTTAAATACAACTTTAAACTCTCAGTATTCATGTATCAAAGGAGATGCAAGCGATAGGATTAGCCATAGCTATTTGAAAAATAGATCAGAATAACCATCCTCCATTTTTCACCTTTCAGCAGATGTTCCGTTTCATCTTCAACATTACAATCCTTAATATCTGCCATGGATCCAGCAGCCATTGAGACTCCATCTTCTGCATATGTAACTGGAGTGATTTCATGCCTGAATCCAAAACATGGTTTTTATGAGTACTCCTCTGAAGAATAAATTCCCTGCACTTGATTCTTTACCTATCATGGGGAAGGGGAAATCCCCATTTCTCTTCCCACCTTAATACCTATGCCCAAATCCTTTATTTATTTGGTATATCAGTGGTACCACATAAATGTAGGCACAGACGTTGCCAGAGTCAATAAAACCAGCACTATTGACAACAGTGTTACATGGAATGAGGAAGGAGAGTGAATTGGATTTCCTAGGATCACACATATCCGGAAGCTATACCCCTTTGATTGTATAAATTAAGCTATTAATCTTTTTGCTAATCAGCCCAGTGACTCAGTCCCCATGATTATAATTATAGAGTGTGGAAAACTCTTCACTCAGAAAAGCTTACATAAAGCATTAGTCCTGGTGTCATTGTTTATGTAAACCATAATACTCAAAGCTACCTTCACAGGATAACTAATTCTACTAATTCCTAATTACTACTAATTCTCTCACAAAAGCCCCACAAAAGATTTAGCTTATGGAAGGCAAATTAACATTGTCACATTTTATTTCAGAAAAATCCTTAGGATTCCCCATCTCCCACCCCTTTAGAGTAGTGTAACATACTTTGTTTGGAGCGTGTTCTAAGGCCTTTCTTCTGTGAAAGGAATATTCTGTTTTTGCTGCTGGGTTTCATCAGTCTTCCAGGAATTGGGGCACCATAGGATGAAACAAACTGGGGCTTTTTCTGAAAAAGCTCGTCTAAGAGCAGCAGCTCAGAGACAAGCAAATTTGTGCAATGTTGCCAAATGAATTCCGACAAATGCCAACATTCACTTCTGCATATTTCTCAATAAGAGCAGCTCTCCCACGAACAAAGTTACTATTATCATGTATTCATTAGATTTATATCCTGTTTCAGAGCCTACATGTGTCCCCCTGTGCTAAGTCTAGTTCTGCTGGATTTTTCTCTAACTTTGCATCCTTCACTCCTGGCAGCACGTCAAAATGATAACAAGTGGATGCTGTGAAACATTGGCAGGCTGCCAACTCTCCTCTTCCTTCCCTACATGCCTTTATGAGCCTCATACCACGGGCTTTAGTTATCTGAAGACCCTCATGCCATCAATTCAGTGTATGATATTCTATCTAAAGGAAAGTTAACAAGGAAACCTATTGTCTTAGCCAATCATAGCCAAATAAAAATAGAAACAACCTGACCTCTATAACTAGAAGCTAATTAATAGAAATCCCTGTTGGATTATTATCTAATTCTCTGTTCACATTCTGCCATGAATGAGACAGGGCTTAAGTGAACTATGCCAGTCAATCAAAAAAGAGAATCACTTTTACTTGTCCCCGATAACATGGGAAAGAGCCAGTCTCAGACTGTACACCATGAAAACTAGAAGTCTGCATAATGTGAGGCCAATCAGAAATATTGATTCACGTTATGATGTGTAACCACAACATTGGTAGTACAATACTTACTTTCCTAGTGTTCCTCTATCACTAGAATTGTGGTCCTCCTCTCCTGCAGCAGAAACTCTTTCATTGTTACTTAGCATAGATTCAGCAAAGGGGGCTGTGTCTCCTAGGTCCATCCTTGTTGAGTTAAATAAAGCAGAGACGTTGTTCTCATCCTTAAGGGCAGTGTCTCCAAGAGTTGCTTCCTTCATCAGGGAGAGCTCTTCAGTGGGGCTACTCATTACCACCGGGCAGATTTCACTTGAAGTCATCTTGGGAACGGAAGGCTCTTGGCTTGGGATGGCTACTTCAGTGTCAGACAGGGCACAGTCCAAGAGCTCACTTTTGATGTCATCTTTCTCTTTCACACCTGCCGTAGGTTTTTCCCCTTCTTGGGTCACATGCCTGCTGCCTCCAAATAGGTTTCGGAAGAACTGAAGCACCCAGGCCCTGTTAGAAACAGAGGAGGCTGTAAGAGTTTCCATTCTGAGCCACTTATGGGGCAAGATGGCTGCTCCACTCAAAGGATTGAAAGCAAGGCTTCAAACTGAAAACCCAACTGCTCAGAATCCTCTGGAAATTCTGAGGTTCTCTAAGGGGGTGGGGTCTAAGAATAGGGACTTCCTGGATTTCAGCATCTTGGATTAGATGTCTATCCCTCCCGTTACACTTTCGTAGTCTAGTGACTTCCAGATGTATTTGGACTGCCTCTCATAATTTCAATTGCCCTGCTGAGAGTAGAAGTCATAATCTAATACTCAGAAATTCTATAATAAGGAAGGTTTCCACATAAACAGCTGTGTCTTAGACCGAAATTATCGATCTCTTGGTAATTAATAACATTTGAATAATGATCTTACATAGGAGATAACAGGATACCTATAATGCAGCCCAACAGTGGGGTGCATCATCATTCATCCAAATATCCCAGTATTGCCTTTTACTGTCTACCAGTGTTGCTGTGAAGCTCAGGCACCATAAGTTTGGCATTATGCCGATAAGAATTTGATCCCTGAATGTGAGAGGGATACTTTTACCTTTGCAAAGGGGCTTCTCTGCCCACCTAAAAATATGAATCATCAAGTACAGTAATTCAGGCAAAGCAAAGAGCCTTTAATAAGGGGGGAATCAATTCTTTTTACAGGGCACAGAAATAAAGGATTCATATATTCAGTTTCTGTGATACGTTAGAAAACAAGTGAATCAAACAAAGAAAGACAATGATTACATGTGAGACTTGAACAATAGAAATGTGGCAGGTGGCAAAATTATGGGTTACATTACTCTTTCCCAGCTGAATTTGTATCTTCCTTAAACTTGCAAGTGTATTCAAGGACTTTCAGAATACAGTCTTATTGTTTAGTGCTGAAAATACAAGTTCTTGCATAGCAAGAAATAAAAACTGCTTTCTTAAAGATAAATAAAAGACTAGACTGCCATGTTAAAAGTATTAATATCACCTTTTAAAATGCTAACAATGAAGCCTAAAACACCAGCAACCTCTCCAGAATCTTAAAGAGAAACGTCATGTCTCACATTGTTTGACTTTTTTAAATAGAAGTACTACAGACTGAACCAGGAATCTTCAGATGTAAGGCATGTGCTCTACTAGCAAAATGTCAATATCTTCTGGGATAAATAGCGTATTTCTAGAGGAAGAAACTTTGTGTGTCTTTGTGTATGTACACATGAGCATATGCATACTTGTATGAATGTGTGGCACTTTTCAAGGAATGTTTTCTTAAGGCAGCTCACAATACTATCAGGTTATAACATCAAATTGCAGTCAATACAAGCAACGGTTAAAAAAAACCACAAGAAAACAAAGCAGTATGGAGCTGTTAACATGACCCTGCCTCACGACTTTGTGAAGGATAGCAACTGACTGGTTTTTCTTGCATGGCTGGCTGGTGGGAGTGCACAATCGTTGGGAGAGGCAAAGCAGACACCAATAGCTGCATTATGAATGCCCTCATTCCAGGAAATTATTAGAACAGCAGCTCTTGCTTTCTTTATTCCCAAAGCAGAGAAGTGACAGTCTATCAGGACAGAGGAAAATTATACTGGCAGTCTTTATGCCATTTTAGAGACTGAAGGCAGCCATATTAAACCCCCTATCTCGATATGCCAAGAGTGCTGAATTCTGGAGGTGTAAACCAGTGGTGAAATCTGAACCGATTTGCTACCGGTTGGCTGGCCGTGCGTACGCACTGCGCTCGCACGCATGTGCAGTACGTGCCAAAAGGAGGCTTGGGAAGGTAAGTAGAGCAGCGAGGGGGGGAAATCAGCTGTGCCGCGCGATTTAGCTTTGCTAGAAAGCAGGATTTCCTGCTTTCTAGCAAAGCTAAATCCCGCGGCACAGCTGATAGTCGGAAATACTGCTGGTATTTTAAACTGCCGGTTCGCACGAACCGGTAGCTTTTTTTTACTACCAGTTTGCCCCAACCGGAGCAAACCGGTAGCATTTCACCCCTGGTGCAAACTCACATTTTGTGGGCATGCAGCTCTATCAAGTTTACTTCTCCCTTCATGAATCTGTCTGTCTTATCTAGATTGTGTTCTTTTAAAATTTCAAGCATAATTCAATTTTACATATACTCTTGATCCTCTATTCTCTCTCCAAATTAATCAGTTTCAATTTACAGCAATTATTTTTTCAACAAATCCTATCCAGGTCCACTCAGTAGCATTTTCATTAACTGTTTTCTGGTAATTGCAGCAAAGCTAATATTGTTGTGAACAAAATAGATCCTTGGACTAGCAAGACCTTAAATTTTCAGGCTAATATTTGAGAGCTCTTAATAAACAGAACATATTATCTCAGTGTACTTAAAACTAAATCAGACTTCTAGTCTAAACACTCCTTTCTTTTAGCGCCTACATTGCAAATACAATCAACAGCAAAATTAAGTATTGAAATGCTTTGCCCTTAGACTTTAATAGGCCATGGTATCATCAACCACAGGCTATTTATGATAAATAATATAGCAATTCTCCCAGATGTAGGATAGAGCTAGTTATGTGTTAGGTTCATCACTCCTTAGCTTTTGAACCCCAAAAGGCTGCCGTTTGTAGTCCTTGACTTACAACCATTCATTTAATGACTGTTCAATGGCACTGAAAAAAAGTGACTTATGACCATTGTCCACACTTATGTGCAGGATCCCCATGGTCATCTAATCAAAATTCAGATGCTTGGCAACTGGCTCGTATTTACAACAGTTGCAGTGTCCTGGGATCATGTGATCCATTTTGCGACTTCAGAGAAGCAAAGTCAAGAGGAAGGTAAATTCAATTAACAACCATCTTGCTACCTTAAAACTACAGTGATCAGGGCCGGATTTAGATGAAAAGAGGCCCTAGGCTATTCCACTTATGAGGCCCTTTCACCTATAGTGAAAGTGTAATTTTAATTTTGCTAACAATTTGAATGTAGGCCCCTCTTGATCTTGAGGCCCTAGGCTGAAGCCTAGTTAGCCTATAGGAAAATCCGGCCCTGACAGTGATACTTAACAACTGAGGCAAGAAAGGTCATAAAATGGGGCAAAACTCACTTAACTGTCATATCAACAGAAATTTTGGGCTCAATTGTGGCCGTAAGTCGAGGACTACCTATATCATTGCTCAGTTACACTAGCAATTACAACTGCAAGTCCAGAACTCTGGAATCCTCTGGTTCTCTTGAAGTCATCATTTCTACTAACACAATGGCAATGGAAAGAACCTTTGTTTGGACTCAGAAGCTAAGCACCGATGGGCCTAATAAGTACACAGATAGGAGATGACCAGATAATTCCATGGTATACGCAAGACTGGGAAGCCAATAGCCCAGAAGAAAGCAATGACTTCCATCCTCTCATCACAAAAATTTCATGAATGAGTCCATGACATCACCAGAAGTGCAATTCAACTCGAATAAGTCTTTGTTATTTTTATTTGGTTACAAAATTATCATGCATGTGACACAGAGGAGCCCATGAAATTTTAAGTTGTGACTTTAATTAAACTTTAAGCCATGTTAAATGTTTTAGCTCCTGCGTGCCACAAGAATCTTTTGTCGTAGATTTCTGTGTTCTAAAAAGGTTTATGTATGCAGTCTGCATAGTGTCACAAGAATTATATGGCAGCCAGCAGAAACATTTCTGCTGTCAGATGGCACATAATAAAGATGTGTTTGATCTAGAGAACGCCTGATGGATGCTCTGTCCAGACCCCTGCATGATTTGAAGCTTCTGTCTTACCTTTGAATTGGCACAACTTTCATCAGACAGAAAATAAAGAATATGTCAACAGCTAACTGCATCACACTCATTCATTTTTCAGAACAAAAAAAGCTCCATAGAAAGAAGCTTATACCCAGATTCCAATATCATTAGTGATAATTATCTTCAAGAACTTCCCTATTATTATTTGGGTACATCAACTGAAATAAAAAATATGGTTCCATCAAGCTGTAGTCCAATTCTCTTTCAAGGAGACTCATTCCGATATATCATGTCCATTTTTTTTTTACTATTGTATGTTGCAGATGTTTTGTGCTCTTATAGAAATTGTCACAGGATTAAGATCCACCATTTACAGTGCTTTGCTGTTCTCCTTTTTTTTGGAGGTGTTGCAGAATTGTCAAATGCAAACTGTCAGATACAGTCAAAAAAGCGTGCATGTCAACTACCAAACGCAGGAAATTATGCATGATTTTAAAATTTTCAACTGCTTACAGGTAAGTTTCTCTGCCATTTGTATTACAGGTAATCCTTGATTTACAACAGTTTATATAGTGACCGTTGAAAGTTACAACGGCCCAGAAAAAAGTGATTTATGACCATTTTTCACACTTACAACCATTGTAGCAGCCCCATGGTCATGTGATCAAAATTCAGATGCTTGGCAACTGACTCATATTTATGACGGTTGCAGAGTCCCGGGGTCATGTGATCACCTTGACCGACCTTCTGACAGTCAAAGTCAATGGGGAAGCCGAATTCACTCAGCAACCATGTTACTAATTTAATAACTGCAGTGATTCACTTAACTCTGGCAAGAAAACTTGTAAAATGGGGCAAAACTCACTTAACAACAGAAATTTTGGGCTCAATTGTGGTCGTAAGTCAAGGACTACCTGTATATCCCATTTTATACAATTTTATTTAATGTATTACATTTCTACCCTGTCTTTATTACTTTATATATAACTCAGAGTAGTGAACATACATAATACTCTTTACTCCTCCCACAACCTCTGTGAAGAGGGTTGGGCTGAGAGAGAATGACTGGCCCAAAATCAGCAGCCAGTTTTCATAACTAAGGCTAGAACTCAGAGTCTCCTGGTTTCTAGGCCAGCACCTTAACCACTATACTAAACATTATGTAGTCTCTTGCAGGATTTTTGTTATTATTAGCATTAAAGATGGGTATGGAGAAGTTAATTGATACATTCTATTGCTATTCTT